AGACGCAGCGAAGGAATAATAACTCACTGGGAGTGAAGGGCCAGAGGAAGGTGAAGTTGCACTGGCGTCCAAAAAGTGCAACAAATTGCAACGACCCTTCATCTGTCATTACGTTACATTAGTGAGATCTCGCGCGTCAACTCAGCGCCTTCCGGAACGCCTTTCTCCTTCAACCTCCATGTCGACTCAAGGTGCGAACGTTGGTATTGATACTGAGTTCCAGCCTGTTGCACGATCCCTACTGACCTTATGTTGGTATAGGTTTAGCCTTCGCGTTGTAACCGGACACGCATGGTATATCACAATCGATATATTGACATCTGTTCTAAGGTACGTACTGTAGTTTTTTTCTGTTGAACGGACTACAAGGCTGCGCCACCGATCGAGCTGCGAGCTGTGGCGTGCGATGCGCAACCGCAACGCCCTTGCGCCTCCCACGCCACAGGAACAGGACTCGGACCCTGCCGCTGAGCGCGCTGGGCGCGAATACTACGGATTAAGTCAGTGGAAGCCTACGTCAAGGTCAGAAGTCGCGATGCGTACTTAGCCGTGAGACGTAGTGGCTGTAACGAGCAGCCTGTGAATGGGTGCCAGTGGGAGAGTGAGGCCAGTTCACAGGCAGAGGTGAGTCGGACGTATTCTTAGCTGATAAGGCTGAATGCTGTGGCGAGGATGCATGCGGTGCGCCGTGCGGGGCTAACCCCGGCCTTGTCAAGTGACAACGAAGTCTCACTTGACTAAGCCTCCCTGGCGGCCGCTCTTGGTTCTTCAACGTCTCAGCTCCCCAGGAGGAGACCGTGAACCAAGATGTCCACCACGTCTCTACTTCGATCTACTACGCATCCATCTCGCTCACCCCCTCCCCGCTCTCCTCAGCCTCGCCTCAATAGTCACAACAGCGCTAAGGGGAAGGGGGATCGAGGGTCCCAGACTTACCAGCAGAAACCTAACATCATTGGAGGTGAGTAGGTGCTTCGGCGGCACTGACAGATCGATTTCGCTCACTTGGGTATACAGAGAAATACAGCACTAGGAAGCACGTCCCTGTCACAAAAGCCAACGCAGCCGAGCAAGGTAGGTATCCGAACGCCACATGTTATCATGCGCGCAGATCGCTAATCGTTGGTCCTCACAGAGGTAGAGAGTGATCTGATCGACACCGAACAATCAGGTATGTGTTACGTGCTCGTCCAGTGGTAATCAGCCCATGCAGCCAGCTAATGTTAGCTGATGCACAGCTGCTACCAAGGACGAGTACGAGTACCCAGAGGTGGTTCGCAAGGCCTTCGGAGACCGGTACCTCGACCTCCCACACGTCACTGGCGAAGTCGTGAGTATCTGTATGCGACTCATATCACAGTAGCTGACTGAGTCTCTACACACAGAAGGTCACCGGTTTCACTGCGCAGGACTGGAAGAATTTGCAGGGGTGGATCGAGGCGCACGACGACCTCAATAAATTTGAGTGAGTGTTCTTGCTGTGCGGCGGCTTAGCGTCATCTCATCTCATCTCACCGTGCCATTGCAGGTTCGAGTATGATCAGGAGAAGCAGGAATTGACTACGATGACAGCCAGTTACCTGCACGATCTTCTCGGCACGATGCAAAGGCGTCACATCAACATGAGATGGTACACCTTCTTCACTTCACCAGAGTGGGTACAACTCGCGCTCAATATCTCGAATGACCCTGCGGACTACGCGTCCATACGAGGAAAAGGTGGCTCGAAGAAGATTGCCGATCTGGTCGAGGCTATCGCAGTTGGGCGTGACCTACTCATCACTTCGCTGAACGAGACCGCACAGTCGCAATCCCTGTATAATGAATACAATACGGATGGGAAGCTATCGAAGGTCAGTACGTTGGCTGCCAAAATATATGATTACTCATGTACGATGAAAACAATAAGGAGGGGCGCTAACGAAGGTCAGTACGTCGGCTGCCAAAATATCCGATTGCTCAAGATATACCTAAGCTCCTGGAAATGGCGGAACGACTCGTTGGTGAAGACGTGGACGACGCGGAGCTCGTCGCCTTAACGTGCTTCAACATCGAGGAGCTAATACCTAACGGCACCGATAAGACAAAATGGTCGGCGCCTCCAAGAAAGAGTTATACTGCCAGTGCCCTCGCCTTTCAAGCAGCCATGTACGATGCTCTGTCTGCGAGTAACGCAGGTTTGATTCGTGGTGCGGGTCCTCTGGTGGCCGAACACAGCGCCGTGTTCTTCGGCGCTGCGCGCGTATTCTGGATCTACATACCGATATCTGCACTCAACACGCTCAGGAAGGCGGTTAAGGAAAGATGGTCCATGGAAAAATGGATCGCTAGTGGCTTCGCTATCGTAAGTAACCGTGCTCTGTCACAGTTCCTTGCTTACTGACCACTTCAATAAGCCGGTGCTCGAGTCGTACGACGACAACCAGCAGACCCAGGTCAAACACTTCCTTGGCAACGTTCAGGAGGGGTATAAGCAGATGCTGCGGATGCTGGCTGAGGTCTTGATGACGAATCCGCCGCATCAGAACATCCTGGGGAAAGCACTCGCTCAAGTCCAAGATGACAAACAACGCAGCGCCCAGTACGAACAACTGACTAAATATTGCGAACACCTTCTCCACCCTCCGGACGAAGCTTTGAACTTCGACGACCACATTCCCGATATCATCGCAGCGGTCAAGGAGGGTGCCCTAGGTACTGCAATGGACCGCCTATACGTCAACTCCGGAGCTACACAAAAAGAGCGCCGTTCTCGTCCGCGTAAGACGCCGGAAGAACTCCTAGCAGGCTTACGATACATTGCGGATACAGGAGGAGTCAAGCGGAAGCCCTCTGAGGAGGACGTGCAGGCGAACAAGCGTCCCCGCGATGGGCCGAGCACGGCCGAGCACGGCGTGAGTGAAGCTTAATCTCCGCGTGTGCAGTGCGAAGATGCACCGGATCGTGACACACGGCTCATCGCTGTCTCATCGTCCCCACCGTCATCGCACCTATCTTCACCGCCCTTCGTCGCCGCCGCCGCATCCCTCGTCATCTGCATCCCTCGTCATCAACGCTGCACCCCTCGTCATCGCCGTCGCACGCCATCGCAGCACCCCTCGCATTGTCGCACCTCTCGTTGTCACAGTTCTATTCCCACGTAGTTTCTCGTCGTCGCCTTTCGTGGCACCTGTCGTCGCTCGTCGTCCCTTCTTGTCGCACCTCTCGTCTCTCGTCGTACCTCTCGTCGTCGCTGTCGTTGTGTAGGATTAGCGTGAGCAATATCCGTCTATTGTGTACTGGATGTACGTGTTAGTTGTACGTGTTCGTTGTCGTTTGCTGTCGTGTTACTCACAATGCTAGCTATCGCTATTGATGGACTTCTACGGACCTTAGCAACTAATTGATTAAGACTGACTGACGTCAACTGAATCAGCTAGGGGTAAAGTAGTCCAGAGGCGTGCGAACGGCGAGCGGGCGGCGACGTGCAGCGCGACGCACACGACGATCGCTATCACGTCAGGGCCAACGCCGTGCCGACGGATGCGCGGCGGGCAGACAAGAGGACGGGCGGGCGAGCAGCAACACACACCCACCGGATCGCAGGCATCGGGTCAGTGCAGACGAATGCGAGTGAGCCCGCTGACGCAGACACAGGACGCTGCGACGTGCAGCGCGACGCACACGACGACCGCGAGCACGTCAGGGCCAACGCCCTGGTGCAGCACGGCGACGGATGCGCGGCGGAGACAAGAGGACGGGCGGGCGAGCAGCAACACACACCCACCGGATCGCAGGCATCGGGGTAAGCAAGCGGACCGGCGGGCGGCGAGCGGGTGGAGGGTACAGGGTGCGGACCTCCACTGCGCACGACGACAGCGAGCACGCAGGGCCAATGTCCTGCGTTCGGACGTAGCCTACGACCGAGCAGCGGGCGTATGAGTGGACGAACGGACGAACGAGCCGGCCGAGCGGTTGGGCGAGCGGAAGAGCGGGCGGGCGAGCGGAAGAGAGAACGGGCGGGCGGGCGATCGGAAGAGAGAGCGGGCGGGCGAGCGGAAGGGCGAGAGGGTGCACGAATGGGTCGTGGGCAGCAGGGCAAGCAGATGAGTATGAGGGTGAGTGAGCTGATAAGAAAACGAGCGAGCGAGGGATGGGCAAGGTATGGGCAAGGTGAGTAGACAGCTGGCAAGGGGTAGATCGCAGACACGCTGACGAACGCGTGCAGGCGGAAGAGCGGGTAGACAGGAAAGCAGACCAGCGGGCGATTTGCCCGTCTGCTGCACGACGCTCACATCTGCGACGTCTACGCGCACACGCGGCCGACGAACGATCGACAGGTGCAGGGATGACGAGGAGGTGCGAGCGGGCGGGCGCGAGGGCGAGCGAGGGGGCCCACGAACGGGCGGACGGACGGGCACGGGCGGACGGGCGAATGAGTGCGCGAGCGGGCGGGCTCAGGGCGGGGACTGGCACAAGACACAGACGAGCACCGCGTGCACGACGACCGCAGGCGCACTGGGCGAATGCCCGGCGCGCAGATACGGCCGACGAACGCGCAGGCAGGTAGGTGAGGAGGTGGGCGAGCAGGCAGACAAACGGGCGAGTGAGACCGTAGTATGGTACATTTCAATCTAGTGGGTGATGTGTAACAGCAAAACGTCGTGCGGTGGAGCTCTATTAATGGAGATCAATGGATGGTAATCACGGGTAATATTTTGACTGGGTGCATGACCACCAAGCTTCGTCATTGCAGGAGCTAGGGTTCTGTAAGACCTAACCCAAGCTCGAGGGTATCGACGTTAGCACTGCCCTCGAGTTCGCACTGCCTTCAAGTTCGCACTGCCATCGTGAGTGTAACTCACGGATTCGTGCTATGAAGCTAAGTCAAACTGAGGTCATCGAGCTCTCTGAGCTCCTCTCGTCTCTTCAGGATCTAAGTCCAAGTATGCTGTCGCTGCTAAGGCGACTGATCTCAGAGCACCAAGAGGCGGCGCATACGACACATGGGAGTCCATCGGGCACAGGTCAGTAAACTCGTTCTATCTCTACAGGAGATCGTAGAAAACAACAAACTAATGAATGATAAGCTGAAGGACCATCTATCGTCGTTCACGAGCCCTCTGAACAGTGTTTGGCAGAAAGACAATTTGAGCAACCTATGGACCATAACAGTACGTGTATCGTACCGTATTCAGGCAGTTCAGTACCAGTACAAGGTCAGCATATATATTACATTGGTTGCAAAGCTATCTCACTCGTCCGTCGTGACTGAAAATCCAGAATCTGAGCCTAGGACATCCAGTTCGTCGAGGCGAGCCCCTAGGTTGCGTCGGAAACTCGCTGTCGCACCGTATGATCCTGCGTCTAGGTCGGCTCGTAAAAATGCACAGCAGCCGGCTCATTTCCCACTGCCGCCCTGTCCCAGAGCTGGCATACAATGGATTGCCAGTGAGAATCAGCCTCGCGCTGCCTGGGAAATGACGACGAAGCCCCACGAAGCGGCCAGCACCACAGTCGTCAATCTCTTGAACACTCTGACAGCCTATGATCTCAAGGATGAAATTGCAAGCTGCGCGGACCTACTCTTGGAACCACAGCGAGCGTCGTACGGAGACAAGCACGAGACACTATCGCAGCTGGCCAAACGATGCACCGATATGGATCACAAGAGGGGCGCTTTCGACTTCCATCTTATGGTGGCGCTCATGAAGTTCAGCTTTGAGTGTGCAAGGTAAATAGCTTCCCATAAGTTCCGTATGATCTGACTCACCAGTCTACACGTCTAGTCTGTCAGGATGGGTGAACGTCAATATTTCCGCTTTATGGCGCGAGCACCTTTCGACAGAGGCCAAACCCCCCAGTGTTCGCACCGTACAAGCCTGGTATTCGAGAGGTACCAAGCTAGCAAGGCTAGCGGCTGGAGGTGAGATATTGTAACGACATTCGGACATAGCAGTATGCTTATTACCCTGCAGGTTCAATCTATATGCTTCTCTGGATGGCCTATACGAACTTGCGCGTGCCGTTTATTGAAGCGGATGGCAATCTATCTTCCGACCTCGCCAATATACTGCGATGCCCAGATGCAGGTGAGTACTAGTGTTGCTCTTCTTGCGTGAGTTGTGCACTAAACAAATCATGCAATACAGAGAGCCCTGTTGGACGACTTGTCCTACAAACTGTTATCCCCACTGTGGGGTCTTTGTGCGAACGGTGCCCCATAAGACTGGGTGATCTGTTCACAGCAGTCACCCTATCATCTCTGGATATCTCCAGCGATTGCCTGTGCAGTGATCTCAATGCGTCAGACCGTCTGTTCAGTGCTCTTCCCTCGAAGTAAGTGACAGTCATCAACCAATCTTATCGTTGACCTAACTCACTAGTATACATACAGCTCTTTTGTTGCTGTGCCTCGCAATCCAGACGCGTGGCCGATGTTCTCGCCGCCTCTCATGTCGTTATCGCCTCTCACGTCGCTCTCACCTCTCACGTCGTTCTCACCTATCGCGTCGCTCTCACCATTCTCTCAAATGTCGCCTTTAACTGAACTCGACAGCTTCACGCCATTGTCGCTGTCACCTACTACTTCATCAATGTCACCATTGTCCCTCTCCACCCTCTCAGATCGCTCAGATCGCACCGACACCTCTACTACCACCGTCACCTCAAAATATGATCCAGAGCAACTGGCCAACCAGCGGTTTCAATGTCCTAGGGACAGAGGGCAGAACTCGACCTGGACAGAGCGTCAGAGGAACTTGGCTAGCAAAGCCGTAGAACCATCAAGCCTATATGAGCTGACTTCTATGGTACGTTCAGCCTGTGTGCACAGCGATATCATCTAACTCATCCACGATTTTGTAGCTACAGACCATGTACGTTGATGGCATACGTCCAGCAAATAGTGAATACCTAAGGCTGAACAACAGTCTATTCGAGTAAGACGCACACATGTTGAGATGCAATAAGAGTCTGACATTCATTGCGATAGGGATGTGCTTATCATACAGTCTGTACAGTTGGACGTTGTTGCATGCATATGCAAGGCTATGCCTCAAAGCATGCGAGACGGTCTGCCAGATCGTCTTGCTGCTTGTTTTGAACCGAATGCCCTGAAGGAGATCAACACGGCTGAGGACGGCGGTGCGCATGTCTTTCAGGCACTGCACTTTTCCTGGTACAATCGGCATTGCACTCCTGTACGCGCACATTCTCTCCACTGATTGACCTCTGATTCACCAACACGCCATTTTGTAGGGACATGACGCTCCAGTGAGCGCACCGCCTATGACCATGAAGAGGAGTTCGGGGTCAAAACCAACTACCATCAGCTAATACCCTACCCGTCGAAAGATATGACGACGAATCACTCAATCTACCAGTCGGTCAAGAACATCCTAGGACCCATCTTTGACTGGCTAGATAAGAAGGTGAATTATCTCATTGCTTGTGTCTCCATAGCACGACTGATCAAGATACACATCTATTTTTCAGCTCAAGGAAATGATGCCAGGCACATACGAACATCTGGACTCTTATGTCCGCATATTGCCTGGCAACAACACCGCCGTCTCTGCCCCTTTTCTAGGGCTGGTCATTAACCTCAACGTAGTGACAGCAGCGCACAGAGACAGCAAGGACGACGGCGTATGCCTAGTCCTTGCAATTGGTGATTTTGAAGGCGGTGAGCTTGTCTTATACGAACCAGGGCTGGTCGTGCCTCTTCGTAATGGCGACTTTGTCATATTTCCGTCTTGTAAGTCTACCCACTTTAACTTGCACTTCAAGGGTCGCAGAGCCTCCATTGTATTACATACTGATCGCGAAATGACGAAGTGGCTCGAAGAGCGCAACGGGTGGTCTACTAATACCAATTTTATTTGACGTACCTATAGCTACGTAGCTTTGTTCGTCTTCAATATACTTGTGTGGTTTCATCGAATGTGATGAGCGCTTCCCCGTGCGTAATAGCGCGCCTCGCGGGCTCTGTGAACATCACAGACATCAATTGTTGAAGTTTACGGACGCTCGGATGCTATCGGAGGTGCGTTTTTCGTTTCTTCTCACCCATCACTACAGTCTATCGTCGCTGTCTCTCTTTCCTCAGTGCGCATTCCGACATGGTCAAGCCTGTTACTCGATCCGTCGCAACCGAACAAGGCGCCGGAACACCACGATCAACCCGGTCGACCAAGACCTCCAAGGCCGCAGGCGGCTCGAAGAAAACCACCAAGCAAACAAAGACTAAGGCGAACCAGGCGGCTGCCAAGAAGGAGCGGGAAAAAGAGAAGGGTCAACAAACATCTAGTGAGGATCGTGATCGTCCTTGACGCACTGATTTTAATCGGTGTCGATGATGCTGCGTTGGTAGGGGTTCGCAAAAACTCGTCAAGAATGATGGCGGAAGAAGAATTATCGAGTGACGAAGAGCAACCAAAGCTAAAAAAGAAGAAGCTCGCTGGCACCGAGGACAGAGACGTCGATGAACAGGATGGCACGTCCAATGATGTGGAGATGGAGGATGTGACCGCTGAGCAGCCTAAGGCACCTCGACGTATGTGATCAAATTATATTCAGCAGTTCACATTACTGACCAGCTCGCTGTGTTACCACTAAGCCAAACCGAAGCCAGCATATGGCAAATCCGTCAAACCTGGAACCTCCTTGGATGCCGGCGAGGAGGATGTCGCGCAAATGTTGTGTATGATCGATAATTCACACTCGCGCATTACTACTGGCTAACGCAACATCTTTTAGTAGGTGGACAACGTCAAACACAACGTCAAACTCGGGATAAAGCTACTGTTTCTAGGTCTGAGAAGCCTAAGTCTGTCGTTGTCAAGTCGTCTTCGAGCAAGGTATGTCGTCATGCATTGTATTGCAACCTCTCTTACATATCTACTGGGACGTAGCAGGGCAACTCGAAAGGTAAGGGCCGGGCAATTCGTGCGGTCGAGTCAGAGCATGAGCTCGATGAAGACGAGGAGGGAGATGGCCAGGGCAAGGTTGTGGATGACGAAGACGAGGTCGGGGTCGAGGACGAGGACGAGGACGAGGACGGTGCGCGCGATGACAATGACGAGGACGAGGGCGAGTACCAGGACCAGGAGTACGATGATGATGATGAAGAAGACGACGAGGAGGTCATAGGGAGTGGGTCCGAGGAAGGGGAGGATGAAGTTGATGATGTCCAGGAGGAGAACGACGGCGATGTCATAGTGAGTATCATCCTCAGGTTAATAATTATGATAGCCTTGATAATCCACAGGTCGTGTCTGAGACGAAGGCGAAAAGCAAGCCTGCTCGCGAGCAGGGGACTGTCGGTGAACGCAACAGTAGCAACCGCGTCAAGGTAGCCGACCTGCCCGCCAGTGTCAAGTCCCTTGTATCTGCCGCGCAGAACTGTCTGCGCCTCCATATTGCCCTCAAGGCTGCCTGGACTAAGGAGACGTCGATTACCTCTAACCGCCTGCCTTCCAGTGACAAGATGATTGGTGCATGCCTTCGCGAAGCGCATCTTGGACGCGGGAAGAGCGATAAACACAATGCAGACCTGAAGAACGCATTCCAGATGCTGCAAGGCCCGAAGGCAAAGAAGGACGGGGACCCGAAGGCAAAGAAAGCGGAAGTTCGGAAGGAGATGACAGATGAAGAACGAGAGGCGATGAGAAAGAAAGTCTACACCGTGGTGAGTCTAAACGTTCCATTGTTCAGAATGTCAGAGGCTCTGATCAACTATAGGTTTGGACGTGCTCGTCACAGACGCGAAATGAGCTCAAGAAAAAGGCGAAACAGGTCGTTGAGCAGGTCTTCAAGCTCAATGGTCTGTCCGTGGCTCAAAGGACTGAGATCGCCGGCTGGCTTCTAGAGACACACTCCACGACGGTCACCGACGGCAGTTGTAAACGCAACATCACCAATTTTGTCTTCGGCGGCATAGAGTTCCACTTCGACCGCAAGAAGAAGTTGGACAGAGAGGTACGATACTAGCATTCAAGACCAGAAGTAACTAACATGAGAATGAACTACCATCCTAGCGTACGAAGGTCGAGCCGACGGAACCGTTCCGAAGTGATTGCATTCCAGAGCTGATCTACCAGTATTATGGCCTGGCGGGACGCCCAGATGCGAGTATCAACTCTGCATTTGAAGAGTTCAGCAAAGTACCGCTGAACCTTATCGCCCTCTCGTGCAATGCAGTAAGTATTTACTTTCCTATTGCGTTCACGCTTTAAGCTACTCATGCAATGGCATACCAACAGATCGAAGCAGCATTGATGGAGGTGGCATCGCACAACCAAGCTACTGTGACGGTGTTCTCGAACAAGAATTTTGCGGGAAAGTCAGTATTTCTTACATCGCATCGAGTTGCTTGTAGTCAGTTAACACTCGCCTATCCTAGATGGGATGGAGTGATGGCAGTTCTCGAGACCTTGGAAGATCGAGCCACCGACTATCTGGAGGAGACGCGCGAATTGATTTGGAAGGACATCAGGTAACGTTCAGTTTGAGACTGAGATAATTGCTGACAGTGGTTACAGCACTCGTCTCAATGCCGCACCTGATGCAGTCGAGGCGTCGGGGGACGAGCAGCCAGGTGGCTTCATACCGCTGCTGCAGTTACGCCGTGGCGCATCCAAGCCGCGGAGCCACAGCAAGGAGCCTGGCACGTCAAAGGCCGCGACCGCGACCAAGCCTTTGTCGAGCGCAGCAAAAGCTAAGCCATCGAGCTCATCAAAGACCACGAAGAACGCGGAGTCGGCGAAGGGGAAGAAGACACCTCCCAGCTCGAAGAAGACACCTCCCAGCCCTTCGAAGAAACCTCGGAGCGCAGGCGCCGCATCGTCGAAGTCTAGGAAGAAACGACGTGGTGACCAGGAAGATGAGGGTGACGAGGGCGAGGCAGGCAGCGAGGCAGGCAGTGGCGATGACAGGGAAGGTGATGCTGGAGGTCGCAGCGAAGTCGATGACGGTGAGGGAGTACAGGTAGATGAGCTTCAAGAGTCTGGGCAAGGTGAGTTCACACTCGACTCGAATCAGTGCTTTGCTCACTCAGTCTAGAACCTGTTGCGGGCACACCCACTGAGGAAGGTGCCTGAGTATGAAGGCTCAACGTCGTGTCTCGTCGAAGGCTCAACGTCGTGTCTCGTCTTCCGTCTTCCCTCATACTGCCATGTCGCCGTCTGTCTTCGTCGTCCGTCTCTCGATGTCTCGCGTTGGTTTGTGGCTCGCCCTGCGTCGTCTTTCCGCCGTCCACATCCATCCATCCGTCGTGTTGTCGCTATCCAATATTTGCTATCCGCTATTCGCTATCCACTGTCCGCACTATCCACTATCCGCCCATCCATCGATCCGCCCATCCTCCGTCTATCCGTCGTTGTCCATCCGTCGTCCGTCGATCCGGTGTCCATCGATCCGCCCATCCGTCGTCTATCCGTCGTCCGTCCATCCGGTCATAGTCGGGCAGTCGATCCGGTCATAGTCGGGCAGTCCGTCGTCGTGCGTCGTCGTGCGTCGGTCGCTTTCCGTCGTCGTCGTGCGTTGTCGTGGTGCGTCGTCGTGGTGCGTCGTCGTGCGTTGCGTCGTCGTGCGTCGTCGTGCATCGTCGTGCGTCGTCGTGGTTCGTTCGTCGGTCGCTGTCGCGCTGTCGCCGTTCGTCGCTGTTGCCGTTCCCGTTCGTCGCCGTCGTCCGTCGCTCGCCGTCCTTCGTCCGTCCGTCGTCGATCAATCCTCCATCCGTCGTTGTCGCCCTCCGTTGTCCTTCGTTCTCAGTCGTCGCCGGTCGTCGCCCCGGCCCGTCATCCGTCCGTCGTTCGCTCGCCGTCAGTCGTAGGGCTGTTTAGTTACCAGATAGTATACAAGTGTCATCATCATGTTGTACCAGTATGGAATAAATCCCACAATCATTATTGCAAACATAAGTAAGATTAAGTGCGCTGAAGACCAGAAAAGCGAGTAAAAGCAAAGCTACCTACCAGGTAAGATTAAGTGCGCTGAAGACCAGAAAAGCGAATAAAAGCAAAGCAACCTACCAGAATCCAGCAACAGCTTAATTCACATTAATGTTGTGGGTCCCTGCTTCATTTGCATTAATGTTGTGGATCCCTGTTTAAGAGCACTTAACACATCTTTTTGGGCACATTTATAAAACCGACTTGTGTAAATTGGTCATTACCGTCTTCAAGGATCTTCATTTCTTAAATGGCCAATAAAAGACATAATAAGACACTTTGGTTTTTCCTGATGCCTACTGTCATTGCTCGTCTCGGCGATGACATTATGCAATTCAGCCAGCTTGTTGAACAGGTAAGCCTTCTTATACCTAACATACTGCAAGCTGACGATTACCTTGATCTTTCTCCAGAATGCCAGTGTATTTGATGCTTCGGAGCTTACGATCATGCGGGATAGTCTTGGACTCCTTCGTCATGATGTCCACCTCCTCCACAGTGACAGCCTCGATCAATCTCATCATGGCAGGCCTGTCATCCTCACCCAGGTCCATGGTGGTGGGCGTGGCCGACCAAGGCTTGTCATCGACCCGACGTGGCTCCGCTGGGCATATGGCCACAAGTCTATCGCGGATATAGCGCGTTTTTTAAACATACACCGATCTACTGTACGAGCTGCTCTCATTGAGTATGGCATCAGCGAGTGTCGGTCTGATCCATTCGCTGGACGCGAAGGTGAACCGAGCTACGACGATGGCAGGAGCAGTATGGAAGAGGTGGAGAACAACCCAGGCGATGGCACACATGATGGATCTGCTTCCGAATCTTCGGATGAGCATAACCAGGACTCCGAGACCAGGTATGCAAGTCTTTGCCGAGAGATACAGAGGAATCACGACTTCTTTCAGGGTTTCCGAGGCAGACAATCTGGCTGCAGATACTAGCTCCCGGGTCACCTCCTATACCCAACCTCTCACTGACATCAGTGACGACGACCTTGACACCGCTGTCCGGGAGCTCCGGGTACATTACCGCCGCGCCGGGGCTACCATGATGGTTGGCTTTTTGCGGGGGACTCTGGGCATCCATGTCTCGAAAGCGCGGGTGAGGCAATCCCTGCTTCGAATCGACCCTGTGCGGCGCGTGTTCGATCGCATCCGCATTGAACGCCGCAAGTACCAGGTAGCTGGTCCGAACGCTCTCTGGCACCATGACGGCCAACATGGTATGTCTGTTTCGGTGTAGGCCGCAGCGATTGCCTTCTGACGTACGCGGTGCAGGTCTTATTCGCTGGCGCATCGTCATACATGGATTCATTGATGGCTACTCAAGGCTTATTGTGGGTCTGCGCGCGAGCAACAACAACCGAGGCTCGACCGTTCTTGATGTCTTTCTCAACGCCTGCCGAGTTTTTGGAGTACCGTCTCGTCTTCGTGGAGACCATGGCACGGAGAACATCGAGGCAGCATGCTGGATGGACGATCATGTAGGGGCTGGAAGAGGCTCGTACATCTGGGGGCGGTGGGCCTATTCATGTGCCTCTACTACACACTGTACTGATTCTCATCGCTTGCATACAGGAGCATCCACAATGTTCGAATCGAGCGCCTATGGGTCGATGTCACAGCGCAAGTAACATCAAAATGGGCCGACTTCTTCACGGACCTCGAGCTCCGCCATGGGCTGAACATCAACAACATCGACCACATTCACCTCCTGCACTATCTCTTCCTACCCCTGATCAACACAGAACTGCTGTATTTCGTCTCAGGCTGGAACCACCACACCATTTCTGGTGTAAATCGTACACCTTCCGATATGTTCGGTTGGGACATGTACGTCCACGGTATCCGTGGTGGCCAACTTCCTCCACATCAGCAGCTGTTGACAGACGAAGAACTCGAGTATTATGGGGTCGACTTCGAGGGTCTCGGAGAGGATGCCCTATTGGGCTCTCGCGAGGCGAACAACCCAGAAGACGAAGGTGTCTCATCATTTCTAGGGCGAATACCACCTGCCGAGCGCCTTAACACTGTCGCAGTTGAGACTGGCGATACGAACTGGCCAGAGGAGCTGATTCAGGGTTTGCGGGGCCTGAAGTATGCAGTGCAAGGCCGCGCAGACGACAAGTCCCTGACTGGATTATGGACAGCTTCTCTCGTACTCATGTGTACTTACTTTGGTGATGTTATGATGAATTGAAAACAGCTACCATACAGAATGCAGGCTAAGAGGCCAATGGAAAGGCAAACCCATGCCACTACGAAGACGAGACAAGTACGATGCTAACATAGACTGGTGCACGCGAACACGCATCCTGTCCCTGTATCACCCTCCTTCACACTCCCGCCCTCATCCGCGTCATGGCACACCCGACTTGCATCTCCTCTTTGATCTATCATGCCGTGTTTGCAGCACCCTACCCGCTGCCTAACTTCACCTATGCTGGCCCTCCGACACGCGCCTTCGCTCTCACCGAAACGTGCCGTGCACCCGGCAGCGCGCATTCTGTCTACCACTGCCCATTCTCCCTTGCCTCTGCGCACAGCCAGAATTCTGCATCTGCGCGCCCGCCCGGTCTCGTCTTCTCCGCGCGTGCCCTCTCGCACACCGCACCTGCTCTACTTCACTCGCTCTGAGCATGCGCACTTGGCCTTGTGCAGGACGGCACCCGCCTGCCTCTCGTTGACCTCGCTAACGCATCCCGCACTGCCAAACCCGCCGACTGCTGCCTCCCCGACTCGCGCAGCGCCATGTGTTTCGCACTCTCGTCCAGCGCCCCGGCCCCCGAACCGCCCTCCTGCGCGCGTACAGCCACCCTGGCCTCGCACTCGTCCGCGCTGCGCTCACCTGCACTGCGCGCCGGCAGCCTCAGGCGCTGGATGATGCTTGAACTCGGCCGCGCGCAGAGCCGTCGCGATGGGCAAGTCGTGCTTGCGCATACGCTCGCGCCGCCGCCGAAGGATCGTCTGAAGTGTCCATATCCATACCCATATCGCCGCGCGAGGGGGCAGGAGGGCCTTGGCTGCGGCACGCACGAGCTCAGCCAGCTTGGCTTCTGCGCTCCGGGCGGCGCGTTCAGCAGGCAGCGGACGGCGGCGGACGGCGCGCAGCTGGAGGAACTCGTCAACTTCGAGGTTGGTTGACGCCGGGCCCAGCTGGAGGTCGAGGAACTGGAGATCGTCGCCGTCTGGCGGCGGAGAGGATCTCTGACGATCGTTGCGAGGAGTCGTCCGGTAAGGGATCGAGTGGAAGGGTTGGTGAAGAGGGCGAAGGTGGACATTCAGTCGGTGCATCCGCACTGGGAGATGCGAGTAGCTGACGAGGCGGACGTGGAATAGGGGTAACACACAAGGGGTCATTTGTATGAATTCCGAAGGTCCGAGTATGCGGCGGAGGATAGCAATGTGGACCAAGGGTCGCCTTCAGGTGATATTGCAGTGTCGCAGAACGAGCTATCGGAGTCGCCGCCTCGGCAGAAGTAAAGCCAACGGGGGTCGTGGCGAGTCCAGTGGTGGAGGATCCCCGTCGGTGTCCATTAAGGGTCATGCAGAATCTTGCAATGCAGCAGCTCTAGGTGCACGCTGAGCGGGGAGCGTAGCGCCCAGAAAGCGCCAGCTCGATCTTCGTGGATCCGCCGCCAGGCTCTTCCGGGAGGCTCGGAAGGCTACCTAGGCTGGATTTGTCCTGCGGGAGACATTCCTCGAAGCCGGAATCACGACGCGCCGGCAGCCTGAGTATGCGGGGAGGCCGCGGCCAGACCCGGAGGGACCACATTCAAGTCAATCCACGAGCCTTCGAAACTCCATCCCCGCAAGGTGGCATGATGCACCATCCAAACACAACGGTGCGACGAGGCGGCTCTTGACTTGCTCTGGATCTCAGCCACCTTCGCCCGGGGTGCGGCAGCGTTGGTGCGGCCACCGCCAGCAAGCTCGGCGCGGCATCCAGCCTCCAGGGCGGCGCCGACGAAAGCAGCCTTGGCGGGAGTGGGCGCGAGACCAGCCGGCACGATTGGCGGCTTGCGGAGGCACGAGAGCGACGCACCGAGGCGGATTTTGTTGCGGCTGCAGGAAGGTCAGCAATGCGCGAAGTGCGGATGGTGCAGGGAACGCACACCTTGTCTTGACGGGACTAAGTGCGAACTTCTTGCTCCGCCGCTCCTCCTCCCTCCTCACTGCCTGCGCGACACCCAACTCGGCGGTGCCCCTGCACCCTGCCCACCAAAGACTAGCGCATCCAGGCGCCGCGAAAAGCGGGCGCGCCAGCGTGCAGGGGCGGCGAGGCTGCGCGGGCCCGCGGTGGCGAGCGCGTTCCGGCCGCTGCAGCGGGTAACCTGCAGCTGCGCGTTCACGGTGCCCTCGAGCTTCTTCCCCGGCTCTCCAGGGCTGAATGAGGCGGGCTAGCAAGTGGCCGATTAGCGAGTAGGCTGCTTGGCACTATTTGAGAGCGGGGTCGCCGAGGCGGCTGCGAGGCAGGCGGGCGCTGCGCGCGGAGGACCCAACCATTGCTGAAAATGGAAGCAGGCTGTGAGATAGCTCAGTTGTTAGCATTGCGCAGCATAATTCTGCGGAGTAAGTACATACCTCAGCCTTTGAACGCTTGAACGTGCAGCTCCCATTGCTTTGCTGCGAGTTGGGCAAGAGCGACCAAAATCTTCTGAAGCCGAGTCTTCCTTTGACGATCATGCGGATGCGACCACCTGGGCCTTACCCCAACGCAAACATCGACGCATGACCGCCGCCAAAAGATCTGCGGCTCGGTACGCGTGGCTGTTTGCGACAACGCGTGAGGAGAACGACTCGGAGCCGCCCAGCGGCGAGCGTGGCACCACCAATTCGGTCATGTGACGATGTAGGCCGCGCGGTGTCAGGTCAGAATGTGTTTCTGCTGCGGTTCACCGGGTATGAGCAATACCGGGCTATCACAGTTGTTCGTTGTAGAGGGGGTTGGTTGAGTGTTGGTAGTACTGTAAAGTTTGTTAGCAAGTACAGTTGTTTTTACTTACCACAGCAATTGAATTGCCTTTACACACTATAACTTGGCTGATCTCGTTGAAGTGACGTGACGTGCTGAATGGATAGACTAACCACTAGCCTACCCACTGGACTGGAATACGTGGATACGAGTGACGTGCGTGACTGAGACGTGACTACAAGAGTTGCTGATTAAGGTAAACAGCTTACCGATCAAGAATCACTAGAGGCACTAACAGGGGCTTGAAGTCACACAATAGACTGTTAAGCTGAACTGTAGTATATTGCACACTAGGATGCCGCTTGTTAGCTTATGTTACTAACTTGCAGAGCAGCAGCTCACAAGATCTACACTGAGAATCTGGGAGAACTTGACTGCCTCATCCATGGAAAACTGGGGGCCTTATA